TGTGGCATGCGGACTTCATAGCCACGCACATGTTACAGTTAGTATGTCATCGTTCTCAGGTAGAGGTAGGGGGTACGCGCAACCGACCTGAGCGTATGTATCCAGAGACCGGGAGGGGTGTTGAGACCGGAGGGCTCAGGCTTAATCGGATAGGCAAAGAGGTTCGTGTTGGTACTGGCCGTTTGTCCGGTCGCAGTGCTTGTTGTTTTCAAAGCTAGTTTTGTCGAGCATGCTTGGCTCAGAATCATGTTTCCTGTAAGCTTTCGACTCGCGGGAGTTGGTATACAATCGAGTCGTTTCGCAGCACCCTTTGCTTTAGAGCATCACTTTTAGTCTGGGCATTTAGTGGAATGACATGTTGTCCGGCATAGTTTCGCAGTGCTGCCCCTTTTTCAATCACTGACTGGGCGGCGGCTTCGTGCGTCTGGACTGTGCGAGGAGTGAAACTGAAGGGCGCTTGCTTTTCAGGGGAGATCCTTGGAGTTGAGTCACATCTTGTTGGTCTTCCTCGGCCGTGGTGGTCGCTGTCGGGGTCTGCAGTCCGGGCACAAAGCCTGTTCTGTTGCTTGGAAGCGGTTTCCGCACTTTCTGTTTCTGCAGGTTTGCCATCCGGTTTGCCGTGTGCCGCGGATGGAGCAGTTCAGGCAATGCTTCCCTTCGTCGTTGCCGGCGGCTCTGTTGGGGAAGCTTTCCTTGCAGCCTCTACAGAAGAACCAGCCCGTGCGCAGGCGCTTCGCTTTGCCCGAGAGCTGCTGCTGGCATGCGATGCAGGCGAGGGTGTCGTCCGGCATGGTTCGCATGGTTGGCGAGAAGTCCTTGGCCGGCTTTCGGCTGCCGCAGATGGCGCAGTTCAGCTGGGTGGCGCCGAGCCGGCAGGCGCAGCATTGGCGCTTGGTGTTGGCGTCCTTCTGCGCCAGTTGGGCCCGTGGGAAAGCTTCTTCGATTTTGGTGAAGTGGCAGCGGCTGCAGGCAACGCTCTTTGCCAGGGTTGCCGTCGCGTTGATGCTCCGCTTCAGCGGCCCCTTGATGCCGATGGAACCGCGCTGGCACGCCAGGCACTGGCCACCGCGGTTGGCTCGGACCATCTCCCACTGCGCGAAGGCGAAGACGTCCCAGCTCTTCAGCTCCTTGCAGCTTTGGCAGCGGGCCTTGGGCCAGCGTGCGTCGTGCATGGCCTGCCAGTCGATGTGCTCGCCTCGGAGCTTGCTTAAGAGCAGCGAGGGGCCTTCCGTGGCGCCGCGCTGGAAGAGCCAGAGCGGGAAGGGCCGCAGGATCAGCACATCCGATCTGTCTCGGACGCGACTGGCCACCACCGTTCCGTAGGCGGCGTGGATCTTGGAGTCCACGTTCAGGTCCAGCATGACGGCCTTCCTGGGGCGGGGTTGGCTTTTATGTTTATGAGCGTTCTGTTGCTGCGATTTCTTCATCCTTTGCAAATGCAATCGTGCGTGCCGGGGTTAGGCTCATTTGCAGCGTGTGCATCTGCTGCGTTGTGCCGTTTGTACATGTGGCGTTCTGTGTGCGGCCGGGCGGCAACGTCTTTCCCTGACTGGCGTGAGCCGTGATGGCGAAGGCTGGGGTCAGCGGGATCTGCTTCCGGCTGACCTTCAGCACGGCGTGCTTTCGCCCCTTGTCCAGTTTCCAGGTGCGCGAGTTGGGCAGCACCGGGTAAAGGCCGGGTTCGTTCGCGCCCTCCAGCTTCCAGTCGGCGTCTTCAAATTTCACATACCTTATGTTCGTGGCGGGAGATGTGTCGTGAAGGGTGTGTGTAAGCGTGTTTTCCGTCTTGTGGCGGGGTTGTGATTGTCGTGTTAATGGCCAGTGTGTTGGCCTGTTGTTCGTTTCTTATGTGTGTGTGTGTGTAGGTAGGTAGGTAGGTAGGTAGGTAAGTAGGTAGGTAGGTAGGTAGGTAGGTAGGTAGGTAGGTAGGTAGTGCTTTTCATTGGTTGATGGCTATCACGACCTTGGCCTTTCTTAAGGGGGAAGGCTCTTTGGCTTGGTGGTTCCGATATTCATTGCCGTCTGGTTGCACTATGCTCGGCTGCTGTTCGTTCTCTTGCCATTCCCAGGCGTGCACGTGCCCCAGGCGGCCTTTCAGCAGAAACTTCTTGGAGCGGTCGATGTGGTGGGCCAGCGCGACTGGCATGCCGATGGCCAGAGGAAGCAT